CTTTGACCAAATTACAAGCTCACCTATACGTCGGTTTTTTCACGCATCGGGGAAAACTCACACAAGGTAAAATACACAAGCGTAATGCATCTATGTAGGCATATTGCCAGTACGAGGAAAAAGAGAGCCAAATGGGATTTGAAATTATTTTTTAGCATCTTCAATATAAACAGATGGTGGCCGTCGGTGTCACAAAGGGGACTTCCTGCAGTATTCTACATGGTCCTTTTTTAGCTGTTGCTTCAGCTACATCATACAGAAATATCAGTAAAGATACTCCGGTACTTCCACGTCCTTAATTATTATTTAGGCGTCTGAACGTGGGCGTGTGTTTGTCTTTGGTTAGCAAACGGAATCGCCAGCCGTAACCTGCAAGATACATGCGCCGTTCTGCATACGAACAAACCCATTTCATACAGTGCATTAGCTTTTGACGAATTTGGAAGGAACGTAGCACTGTGCCCAAATGAAATAGTGACCCTATAACTGCCCTGAAAACTGGATGGCAGTGGTCACCATTCGCACCATCCGGTTCGCTTTTAACAAAGGAGCCAAATCGGACAGGACGTAACCGTAAGGCAAACAAGGGAAAACAAGGACAACCAAATACTCGGGCATTTAAGGATGGTTTACAAGTTATCCGGTGTATGCCATGGCCCATCCTCTTCGGATCTCAAAACTCTCAAACCTCGCACGCGGCGACTGTGACAGTTTCAATCCACTGTGCCGACGGCTTACGTGGAACCGCGCTGGGAACGGTATCGATCCAAAAAAATACCTCTCAAAGGAGCGGGAAATGCGGAGCGAAAATGCCGAGGCGATGAAAACGGTTAAAATTGTGCCAGACTCGTTTCGATGGGCGCGTGCTCTTGCTATGACCCCCTTTTTGTGCAGCCGTCATCGAGGGAATCTTCGTTAATGCCATGCCTTTCATCGTCCCCGACGGCATTCCGCGCCGACCGCGTCGACACGTGCATGAACGCTTTTAACCTGCCTCGGTGGATCGATCAGCACCCCGCTGTGACAACCCATTCAATCTCGACATATGTAAGAACTCGTATGCTGACATACGTGGAAACTTTAAGCGCAGCCTTGATTTACGTCAACGCGGGCTCGTTATAAGAGTGTTTAAAATGGTAAAGTAGCCTGTCAACCTCATCTCGTGTGTGCAGATTGTACATTCAGTTTATGTTCAACATTATTTTGCCCGAGTCCCTATGTGTTAGCCGCCGAAATCATTACGGCTCTTGCTCTTGCGTGATATATGCTACTACTTCCTACAGTGAATCAACAACCGACATCTTCATTCGCTAGTGTGTTTTTTACTGGGTAGCTAAGGCCAAGATCTTGTTGGGGATGCAAGCACATATAGTTTCTCCTTCCAGCAACATTGCAACCATTATGCTTACTATATATTACTTCGCCGTCAAGAAGTTTCAAGTATTACTTATGAAAAGGAGTATGCGTGTTGTCACACATAATAAACTAGTTGATCTTCATGTATCGAATTGTTGGTGCGTTTGAAGTGCTTATTGTTTGTTGCGTTTGCTATAGCCGGTGAATATTTGCTGCGCACTTTGTCTCAGTGGTTGTTTGTTTCTTTCAAGTTGCACTGTATTTCCTGTTCCACGTTCACCTAAGATGAAATAAGTATCGATAAACATGCGTGATACGAACCTCTCTAAACCAAAAGAATAAAAACATACGATGAAATGACATGACCAGTCACGCATCACACGTATGGCCATGAAACAAGCGTTTCCCCTTCGAGATCACACCACTGCTAACGACTTACCTGATATACGTCATGGTGCAGCATTCAAAAACGCATCGCATACAGCGGTCGATTACAAGCACTACTCGAGCGTTAGCAACGGGGCGCAAAAGAACGTACTATACGGAAATAAACTCGAAAAAAAAATCCAGTTGTTCATTCAACGCTTCGTCGAAGAAAGTAGTTCAAGATACTTCGATAGCTTTCCACGTGCAACAACAGCTGTCGCCTCTTGTATATCTTATCGGATGCGTTTTCTTGCTTTTAGCATACGCCAAGAGAAACCAGCAGTGTAGCAAACGAATATGATAGGTGTGCGCACGGAGGAAGAACTTGGAACTCGTGGCGCAAGATAGTAAGCGAGGCTTCTGCTGTGATACGCACCATCACGCGCTTTTCTCCGGCTCAGCTCTCTGGTTCTCATATATACAGTTTCCCCTTTATACCCGAGAGTAAAAGTAAAGACCGGGAGGCGAGGGGATGGTGATCAGACCTGGTGCGCGTTTCACGTATTCTGTCAAGTACGACTGGAAATAGCACATACATATTCGGCAGCGGAAGCACAACGATGAAGCAGTGATGGCGCGTAGCGCATCCGACTTGCGCACTACGTCGTACACCAACGAAAAGCAAAATAAAATAAAGAATAACGAATATCATGGAGATCGCATTGGGGTAGGCGGCGATAACAAAACGTGGATGTAAAGGAAGTACAAGCGCGACTCACTGAGCACACGCATTTGTCCGTGCGTGCGTTCGTGCGTACGAGTCTGTGCTGCTACGGTGGCTGGTGTACCGAGAAAAAGAGAGACGGCTCGGAGCGAGCGGGCGTGCAGTTCGTGTCCAATGGTGTGTCACCGCCAGTCGTGTTTATTCCGCGCCACAGAGCGTCACACGTTGTACGAAGCAAGGCGAGGGCTAAACGCGTGGGATGGCGCAGGGTCGCACGGGGAGGGCGGAGTGTCTATCCATATAGCCGCTGTGCACACGCAGAGGCGATCTTCCCGCATCTGGTGGGGCCTTTTGGGCGCCGAATTGCTGCGGCAGTGAAATGTGATGCCGCTGCCGTGTGCCTGTACGAGCGGATATCGGTTGAAAGGATTTCGTGATACGACGCGGTACGCCTGCCAGCGCACACGGCGCGGGTTGAACGCTCACGTCAATACTCCACCCGTGTGGCTGCCTCTTGAAACTTTTTTTTTCAAATTTACTCTCTTCATTCGATAATTATTTGATGTACTCTAAACATCCAGAAATGCGTGAGCGTTAGGCTGCGCCGTGTTGCGGAAGTTCTGGTTAGCTGTTTGGAAGCCAGGTTTGTCTATATTGCGATAATGGCTCATGTTAGCAACCAGTAGGCACTCAAATGACAACTCTTTTTAAGTTTGTTTGCTCTCTACTCGCAGTTCTTTTTTTGATTATGGTAACCATGTGGAATGATACATACTGTTCTATTTTCTGCTTGTTGTGCTTACTCATGTGTTCCTTCTGCTTTGCTGCCGGGGAGGCACGATTAAAACAGGCAGTTACTCAGCTTTTAGTCGTGTCCCCCAAGGCAATGTCGTAACTATCTATCCTCGAATAAAACAAACAAAAAAATGGTCTAGATGAAGCAAGCGCTTGAAGAAAGTATTATTAAAGTGAGAAGCACTGGCGACTTAGTTGTTTACGAATGCGCACTGATCCATTCGCAGATACTCTGAACATAGCCACCAATTCACTGATAACAAGGTAAAATAAAAGAAACGAATGTAAAAAACAGCGACGAGTACTCCGGTGTACACTAGTGTCGCCATAGGTTGACGCGATTTTGGTCTTTTGGCGCTTCCCCATCGAAAACACACCACTGCTAACGACGTATCTGTAATTTCGTTGCTTGTGATTTTAAAGAACAATAAATTAGGCTAGAAAAACAAGTATACCTTCACTGGAACATATTATTTTCATCAAACGTAAAAGAATGTACTTAAATAAGCGTCACTCTGAAAAGTGTCCTCAATGTTTAAAAAAAACAGTAATATACCACGCAAAGTGCCACGGTAGCGACATGTATAAAAAAAATCTACGGTGTATTTCTTATTTATGTGTTTTCTAGTTCTGTTGATATTCCTGTTGAACCAATTGCGGTACGGTGACTAAATTGTTTTAATCCAACTATGGAGACACGAGAGGGAGTTGCGGTGTATAGGGGGGACACATTTTAAAACAACGGGGATGCGATTAACACGAAAATGCAGCCATATAGGCATATCGGGGAAAATTAACAAATACAAAACAAGTAGCCCGGGAGATAATTCACGAAAGTCTCCTAAGTGCGAGAACTTCTTACGAATCTAACTGGTTCAAACACTTTGCAATATAAAAGACGCAAGAACGAGTAAGGTAATTATTCTTCCTATATTTTTTAAGAATCTTAAGTGAGTATCTAGGTAATGCTATACTGGTTGCTTCAACACAATGCATACATCAGGAAACATGAGATCGGACACAAAAGCATACAAAATGCGAGCTTTAATTAACTTCCTTTTAACTTTAATATTCACTCTGAAAAAATCATAATCTTTCTCGATAAACCTAGTTTGACTCCTTCCATTGTTGTAATTTTTTGTGTCAATGTTAACAATATCTCCGGAGCCCGATGCCATGAATGTACAAGCCATTGTGTGACATGAGTGTCACGCAAACATGATATGAATTATTAGGAAATGTCCTAACAGTGAGATAAGGGCACCTATAATTAAATTATATAATGAAAAAGCTAGTTTTGGTAGCATCCGTTTGTGTAAGTCCAATGTAATATTTGTAAAAGTAACTTTTCAGTGTGGTAAATAATTCCTTCTAGAAATCAAAGCTTCACATCATCACTGGCATTTTAGTATCATGATGTTATGGAAAGTGTCATGAAAAATTCTCTATTCTAGGAATCGGTTTCATTGAAATAAAAAAAAGAAGCATCAACTTGCCGGCTGTCTTTTAAAAAGAAAGATAAAGAAAGAGCGTCACTGATCTTCAAGCAGGATTTATAGGTGTTACAATAACAAAGAGGCAGTGAGACGCGTTCGCTTGAGAGTTATAGTCTACACTGAGAAATTCCGCACATGGTGTAATGCTTGTTGCTGGTGGTTTTCAGTCAATGCGCCAAACTCTTTAACTTCGGGGGCCATTTAGAAACGAAACGTTTTCGTGCGCTAATGGAGGGAGGAAGAGATAAAGTCCAACCACTCACTTTGGGTTTCGTCAGTGACAGCTGTCATTGTGCGAAGCTTGATACCGGGAACACCTGAAAAAGCAGAAGGAAAATTTTACGCAAGGAGCATAGAAAGACAGCGGAAGTAAAGAAGTTCAAACACACGTTTCATCAATAAATAAATAAATAAATAAATAAATAAATAAATAAATAAATAAATAAATCATTGAAATTTCATCTTCATCAAGAAAAAAATGAATATAAAGCAATTATTTGACCAATAGCCTAAGTTGACTAGTGGCCTGTATAACGAAAAACGTACAAGTTGACTAGTGTGTAACGAAAAACGTACAAGTTGACTAGTGTGTAACGAAAAACGTACAAGACAGCCAAAAAACCCAAACACACACACACACAAAGGTTCGGTTCACCATTCTACGGTGGAAGAAGGGGCGCCAATGTCGCAGCCATGTGGAGGTTCGAATGACACAACAACAACATTGAACTCTTGTTCCCCGACTAACAAGTTGACTGAAGAAGACAAATCAACGATCACAGCGCCTAAATCACAGTTAGGTGCACATGGCGTGTTTGCCAGCAACCTCAAATCACTGTGCGCTCAGTTTGTAGAAAGGGTACTGCATACTTTGGGTACAGTACTTCCAAGGCTACAATCGCCACCAAGACCTGCGTGCTACTGTCATTTAATTATGAGCTGAGACATGTGTCGTTTTCTCCCGTAGAACGAGGTGCATCTGAGATTCTGCACCTAGTACTCTTCGACTATCACGATGTAAGTGAAATTATTTTCACTGTTCATGTGGTGCAGTATTTTTGCTTATCGTAAAGTGATTTCCTGTTGCATTTATATCTCTTAGTATTGTTGTACACAAAATAAACGTAACTATAGTGAACAACTCCTTCAAATTTGACAGTGCTTAGCTCAGAACCTCGACTACATTCAAAGTTTATTCCGATAACTTCAATATTGCAATGTTCGTATTTGTACTGATGTAAGCAGTGGAAAAGCTTGATTCATATCATTTGAAAACATCGGCATCTCCAAGCGGTACACTTAAGTAATTAGATTTTTCGAAACGTAACACCTAATCTTTCAAGAGATTCAATCATCATGAAAGAAGAAAAACTACCTGAACAGAAAGGGCTCTTTGCAGAGACACATCAGTCAATGACAGCCACTCAGCAGTCGAAATTGATAGGTTGTAGCGGGAGAGTACCAGGCACTTGGGCAAATAGCTCAGTTGTAATGAGATCTTTCGGAACCGTTCTACATTTTCACCTAATTCAAAGTATATTACACCACAACATTAGATCTGTCTGGTGTCAGGCTAAGCTCATTCATGAAATCCGCGGGATTTGTTTTCGTCCCGTATGGCACGTTGGTCACACTGATTCTATTATGGCTTCGCGAAGAAACTTAGGAAAGCTCCGCCAGCTGTTACTTGTATTTTAGATACTGTTTCTTTTAAATGCGAATCACTTCCTTGAGCATGGTAGGCACATTTAGCGTATCTATCTATCTATCTATCTATCTATCTATCTATCTATCTATCTATCTATCTATCTATCTATCTATCTATCTATCTATCTATCTATCTATCTATCTATCTATCTATCTATCTATCTATCTATCTATCTGCCTGCCTGCCTGCCTGCCTGCCTGCCTGCCTGCCTGCCTACGTCCTGGTGTTCTCGTGACCTCCTTCTTAACTTAGAGTAAACAAAAATGAGTATTTGAAGGTAAGATGGTTTCGAAAACATGACACGCTGGTCATGATCGGAAATTTGTGACGATGCTATTGCGTACGTCGTGAAACCCTTTCCGCTGGATGGCTAACCTCCCTGTCCTCCCTCCTTCATTCCTCCTCCTCCTCCTTTCCACTAGACACGTGTGGCACATACCCGTATAGCATGGGTGAGTATGTGCCACAGGTGATTGACAGTTCATATCTGCCCAGGGACCGCGAGAATAGACAATGGTAATTTTAACGCGAGGGCGTTAATAAAAAGCTCGGATGGGATGCGTTGCTTCAATGAGTACAAAGAAGAATTATCAAGGTCCCAGCAGTAATTGAACCCAAACATTCTGCGTGCCAATCAAGTTTTCCACCGCAGAGCCACAAAAGATCTCGAACATTTTTTCGCCAAATACCCTATGTAGGTGACACGTCAATTGTGGTTGCACTGCTGCCTATATATTTGATAAATATTACATATACACTACTATGACACAGGCGTCCCGTCGGGTTAACGTAATTATATAATTAAGTGCCATGCACTGCAGTTAATCTACGCTGTCCGCCCAAGAATAGGTGCTGTATTTCAGCTTCCCGCTTCTAGTGTTGCTAATACCCATGTTGCAGTTGGCACCACCACGCAACGGTAAACAGTTGATTGTATAAAACATATAAGACTGTTCAACATATGCCTGTATGCCAAATATGTGTACACATCTTTAGCGTCATTTTGTAACATTCGGGTCAATAAAAAAATTGCAACGCAGTCCCCTTTCATCCGGGTGCTTCCCATAACATCGATTCCCAAGGTACGTGAGATCTGCTGATTCTTTTTCCTATTTAATAATTGTTCAGGCTTATGTGCATTGGCGTGTTTGGAAACCACGGAGCATTGAATGTGCTTCTTTTTTTACCACTTAGGATCCTACCATCAGCGTATACAGTTTCTTTGTTGCAGGCTTTTGGGGCTTAAGTTAGTTAAGCATGGCCATACAACAATCCACGCTACAGTCAGGTTGAAATTTATAAAGTTACAAAGTTTAGTTACTACGACGACGCTTTTCACAAATCAAAAGCAGCGTTCTCGAATCGACGCGAGCAAGCATGAAATCGGTGTGGGAAGCTTCACACTCGATTTTGGAAAAAAAAAAACTGACATCAATATCATAGTCCTGCCATGCAGCCCAGTATTCGAATCAGTAAAATCTGTAACAATGAACAATTGACATTATGATATGCAGCGATAAGTTCTCTAGGCTGTGGTAAATTTCATTTATTTGTTTATTTATTTATTTACTTATTTATTTACTTGTTTTTTGTCATGGCAGGAGAATCCATCAATGTTTTGCGACGTGCAGTGCAAGCTGTTCACATCGACTTTAACGAGAGTTAGTTTACTGCCTGTCGTATGCAGTGCACAATACAAATAAACAACATTGCTCAAAAAAAGGAAAATAAAACAAGAAAACAAAAGAAATCCTTACGAAAGGTATTAACTGAAAACACACGCACAGAAAGAGAAAAAAACATGATTTCATTGCTCGCAACGTCGCTCTTCAGTGTTGCCCTCGACTCCCCATCAACAGCAGACGTTTGGAATTCTCGTAGGGACGGAATGTTCCCAAGAAGAGAATCATAACAGGAGGTTGAAGAAACGAAATATACGAACACGTGAATTGCCCAAGTGCACAATGCACTAGCCTTGGGCTACCTTGGGTTGACACGGAAAAGAAACCCTCCCTCGATTGGTTGTGCTGGAGAGCGTTGTTGACACATGCGACACTGGGGCAAACATCCCTTCTTTATATGTCGCCCACATCTCCTAGCCCCGTCTTCGTTCTCGGGATGCACCACCGCCCGTGTGCGCTCGCGCCAGCGACGGAATATTTGAGCAAGGAAACTTCCATGTCATGGAAGAAGATGATGGCGAGCGAAAAAAAAAAGGCGTACGTTTTGTGCCTCTCCAAGCTGCATCTGCCGATGACAGACTCTGCCCCGAGCGTCGGCTCGCTTCTCGGGTCGATGCGTTTCGTTCATTTCTGGGGCGTCGGCACAAACACGATGCGTTGCGTCGATGACGCAGTCGTGTCGTGTTGGGCAGGAGCCAAAATGTAAGATGCGCGGCGACAATTGAAAAAAGAGACGCGACGCGCGTGGCTCGAAATAAAAGGAATGTTTTTTCTTCTTTTTCACGTTTTGCAGAAAATAGGTGTGTTGTGTAAGAGAAGCGTTCACATCAAAGTACTTTCTGAGAAAGAGGGCTGTTGTTTAATTCGTTCATTGATAAAAATATTTTGAAAAACTCATTTCGACATATGGTGTAGCAGTACAAATTCGACGGGGACACAAAGGACAAGCAAAAAACAGCACGTTCACCACCCATGTTCAAACTGATGAAACGTTTTCAAAAAATAAATTTTGTTTATTACAGGCCTAAACTGAGATACGATTACAAGTCACGCCGTAGTGCTGTGGGAATGCCATGAGTAGTGGCTATTTTGACACCCTAGGGTTTCTTAAGGGACATCCAAAGCCCGCGGGTGGTCTAGTCTTCGACCTCAAAGAAAAGCGGCCACCATGGTTGGCACTCTAACTTGCATGCTCTTGTTTGCCGGCCAAACACCTTAAACACAGTGTTAACACAACGAGTATCCACAGTTCTTGCAGATTCATTCAAATCAGCGCATTATTTTCAGTTAAAAACACACTAGTCAAACACTTGGGAAATCGACATTTATCCCCGAAGATGATGATGAAAACAATTTTATTTTGTAAGTTATATACAGGGAGGATGTGGAGAGGCCATTCTTTCTCTCACACCTGTGCTACCCAATCCGTCTTTCTGTTATTCTCTCCTTATCTCTCTCTCTCTCGCTCACCAACTCACTCACCCGCTCGTCACTTGCCCATGGGATGAGGCGACAAGAAGGCTGGACAAGAAGGTCTCAAAAGGGAAGAGACCCGATGGACTCTTACTTAATTGCTATGCCACACGCGGGCAGGCTTCTCCCGAGTGGGAAGTGTCCACGTCTCTGCTCTTTCTCTCTCCGCCATCGTGGCACACTCTTCGCCGACTCGGAGCAGCGGGACTCGGGGCAATCTACTCCGAGTGGAGAAATCACGGCGCCAGCGGACGGCCGCACAAAGGGCACTCGGTCGTCCCGCTCCATTGTGCCTCGTCCCTTGTGCCAATGGTTTCGTGCGAGCTACCACTGCACAAGCATCGAAAGGATTGTGATAGACAGGGCAGAGAGAGAGAGATTGCTGGTTTTGCCCTTAGTAAATTATTGGTCCCGTTCAGTGTTGTGTTCCAATGAGCCTTTTCTTTTTATTTTTCTTAGCACTGAGCTTCCCGATGGCTCTTTCGTTGCGGCTGAGTGGTCGCGATGGCGCTTTCCTTATGGTCGTTCTGAGCTCAGCATCCCTACTTACAAGATGAGCGCATCCTTTTTCTAGTGGTTACTAGAACCAAGTTCTGTAGAACTGTTGTATATCTTTAAGTATTTGGAAGTACGATAGCTTCACTTGGTAACTCAAGCCATGGCTTTCAGGAAATACAAGCGCTTAGTAAACATAAGGAATATAACTGTGCGAAAATAAAACAGCATAAGTTAGCTGTCTGCTATGGCTGAGGCTTGTGCTTGTTGGTTCGCGCTTGTAGCAGGGAAACTATTAGCTATTAGATAATAATAGCTAACACTCACTATTATGCACCAATACTTATTCTTGTCGTAAGGTTAGCGGTGTGACTGCATCTCGATCACTAATCTACTCATTCATGCTGCGACGCGTCGCAACATACGTTTATAAGATGATTTCTCAGAGCGCTGGCAATCGCAATACGGCTGAATCGACAGCTTGTGAAAAATCACAGTAATAGTAACGGCGTCGCCACTCTGCGTATAATTGTCTTCACTTGACGTGGCACCTTCTTGATGAATCTTCCACAGCTATAGGGTCTAAACTTTGACCTAAGGCTAGAAACATTGGGCTACAATCACCGAGCGAAACGCCACGCAACGTTAGCCTCAATGGCGACTACCAGTTTACACTTGGTACGTGTGCTTGACTGTCCCACAACACACAGAGCACGATCATTATCCCACTTCTCCCCTCCTATTTCGAACAGAAAACCTCTCCCTTGCTTCCACACGCTTAAGAAGCTCATCCAACTAACCACTAGGGCCAGTAGTAATTGGTGTGCACACTTCAACGCTCATTTTTCTTCACAATACAAAACTATGTTAAGAACCACACGCTTCTCTTCGCACTATCATTCCATCTTCTTTTTTTCCTTCCCACCCCCTAGTGTATAGCTACCGAATAATTAAATTCTTGTTGGCTTCCCTGCTCCTCATCTACAATTATGTATTTGTCTTGTTTTCCAAGCAGTCCAGCAGCTGAAACAGGAACCTAATTCATCCCGCCCCCCGAATACCGGATGGAGGGATGTGTTTTACCGAGAAAAAATATCCGCCCACACCCCCGAAAAGTGCCTGGCTAGGAACCTGGTTCAAAGACAGGCATGCTTGTTATGTATGGCTCATAAGCCTTACTCATCGGAACCGAACTGTATGAAAAAAGTCACAGCTTTGCCGCAAAGGCGAAGCAATGAACGCGAAAGTAACAAGTCGGAAGGTCACGCGTAGAATGGCAAGCAGATCGAAACGTGCCTCGCGTTTCTCACGCACAAAGAAAGCACGAAACGCACTCACAGGTACAGATTAACACGAATAAGCGTCCTTATTGTTCCTTCGCTGTGTTTGAAAAGCGCACCCTTTTCGCAAACGGACACTGTGCATCAATTCCAGTGACATTTGTGCGCCCGGTAACCAAATCAAAATCATTCCGACGAAACTGAAGGGCTAGACAAGACGTACGATTCTCCCCACTGCAAGATAAGGGCGCGCGATCGAGTGTACACCCCCTTATTCTCTACGCGGGCCAAAGTACGCGTGAGAGATGAGAGCCACCGCGTGCTCACTGCGTCATCTTGCTGATAATGCTGAAAACACGATAGTCACCCCCCCTCCAATATGTACGCCAACAGCGGCAAGTGATAGATAGGAATAGTTTGTTGTTTGAACGTTCAAGGATGTACCTTTCGGTGGCTCAGTGGTAAACACCTCGCATTCACAACCCGGAAGTCCCTCGTTCGATTCCACGCGCCCCGGAGTCTTTTTTTCTGAGATTTTTTCTTTCTTGCGTTTTCATATACATATATGTATATATATATATATATATATATATATATATATATATATATATATATATATATATATATATATATATATATATATATATATGCGCATGCGCGCCATAGCATCGACGTCAACACTGACGCTGGCGGCGAAATCCCACCGATAGCGTTCATATAATTGCTGTCGCAATACTAATGGCCTTGAAGACTCACTTTCCTTGTCCCTGTCACCTCTATTTACCGTTCCACACAATTCTCCGTTGTACACAGTTGTTGTGCGACGATGCGTCGTTTATCAGCAAGCGTTCTTTGGCCCCACATTGACAAAACGGGAGCAACAACTAAAGCTAGCAATACCACTCATCAATTTGAGTTAGTAGAAAGCTAAGGACCACCAGTTCATTTATCGGCATTTTTTTGCAAGCATCTACAAATGTATTTACATGAATGTCAAAATACGGTCCCCAAAGTTGAGGCATCTGCGTTAACGTATGCGTAAGAGAGCAGTTCCTTTTTAGGGAGGGGTACAGAAGCGTTGCCAGTCAGTCTCTGCACTAGACAAAACAGCTGTGTCCCTGGGCCGGTATATAGAGCGTGTGAATGCGCTTAACAGACGTAGACAGGTTACCTATGTCTCACCTTTCCTTATTGTAACCGCCTGGTAAGCACTACTACGCGCGTCCGACGTTGAAAGTATACTTCAACCAGTCGCGTTGACAAGTAGTAATCCGTGCACAAACTTTAGCGCTTGTTTGTACACGGATTACTACTTGTCAAAACTTTAGCGCTTGTTTTTTTTCTCCTACAAAGTCTCTTTTCTCTCATCTTTTATCCCCCTTACCCCCTTCCCCAGTACAGGGTAGCCAGCCGGTCTGAGAACTGGCTAACCTCCCTGTCCTTCCTGTTTCAATCCTCCTCCTTATCCCTTTAGCGCTTGAAAGGTGACATAATCTGTCTTCGCACAGAAAATCAGTGAAGGCCTTGTTCAACTTTTTGCGTGGTAGTGGCCTATTTATAGGCTATAGCACCCCAGCTTATTTTTTTTTCTCTTTCGCGCGTCTGTTTCGCTCTTGACTTTCTTTCTCATCTTAATTCACCATTCTCCCTTCCCTAAATGCAGGGTAGCAAACCGGATGGTCCAACTTCTGGTTAACCTTCCTGCATTTCCCTAATTTTATTCTCTATCTCTCTTAGCGCTGACATGTCCACACAATAAGAAATGTGTGAGGAACAGTACAATTCATCGCGACATCAGAAAGAAAGCGTGTTGTGCGGTAAGATTTCCGGGAGGAGGTGGGGGTTGGGCAGGGGAATGTGAAAGGCAAGAAATAGATAAATAACGTTGCGGCTGCTTAGCGCTAGCCATGTTTCGGGGGAAAATCACGTAGCGCGGACATCTTTTTTCTGCGCGCCGGGCCAGATTGAGATCGACGAGCGGCTACGTGTCTCGGCGGCCAGGGAGGGGGCCATCTCGGCCGCTGGCAAACGGTCTTGATTGTCGCAGAGAGAAACGTGTCTCTCCTGTCCTCCGAGGTTGCTAGGCCTTCGCGTGATAGTGTCTTTCGCGTTTTCTCGCGCGCCCAGCATCGTTCTCCGGGCGCTCTCCTCTGTATACTACCCCCGAACATCGTTTCGCGCGTTCGCCCAAGCGGGCTTTCTCGCCAGGCACCGAGAAATAGTGGAGAAGATGACGTCCCGCCGTAATTAGGTCCCCCGACAAAGTGAACGTCCCGGCCCAAATGGGAGTCGCATTACCCGGGTCATCTGCCAGTGCGTTGCACCTCCTCGCACTGTCGATAATGCGGTGTATAAAATTTTGCAGGCAGCTTCCGCGGAAGGAACCTACATTCGATGTAACTTAAAGTCTCCGCCAAGGCCCGACTAAGCAGCCCCAATAGCTTTTAAGCCGTCTTTCTTTCCGCAGCTCGGACAGACAAAAGGATACAGAAGATGTACTCAGTGGTACGTTTAAGCTTTCTTATCAACGTGCTAGTAAGAGTCCCACCAGATTGAAGCAAGCGTCATCAAGCTGCGGTTATGCTATTCCACGCATTTTCATATTTTACCATGTTATCAGAATTTGTCATTCATCAACCCTTATTTACCCAGTCAACTTCTACAGTCTCTTTGATTGGCCTAAAATGCCGCCATTGCTAAACTTTACAGTAGCTCCGAACTGTGCACTGTCCAGAATAAGCTTGCACAGCTACTGTCTTGTGCAGCACACATGCGCTTTCTACACAATGTTTCCTCAAGGTAACCTATTGTCGAATGACCGTATGAGATGCGATTAATAGCAGAAGCAAAATAGGACTACCGTTTTTCATTTTCCGGATTCTAGAAATCCGTGGTGAATACAACATGAAGAACCAAAGATTGCGTATTTTATTTGGTGAACTATTATTCAGTGAAACAGTCTGCCCATTCTTCGCCCAATCTTTCGTTGATACCATGGTTGTTCGAAAAGAATTCCAGAAAGTAAAACTCATGCAAAAAATTAGGTATGCTCCTGGCAATATAGTAAACCATGCAAGACAACTTGAAGAATATGCTCAACAGCCGAACACAAGTGTTTTGCCTTCGTCGTGTGATTACGCTTCCATTGAAAGGCTCTAATAAAAGTTATTGCAGCATATACGCTGCGCAATTACATTCGGGATAACTCAGGGAATCATCATTGAAAAGTTCTGCAGGTCTTTCTTTCGACCCGGTAGTAGTAAAGATGCGAAGAAAGAAGGTTTATTTCCAAGTCAACAGAAGCGCAATAGAAGAAACTGCGTGTGGCTCAAAGCAGCTTATGTTTAACTACCCCGATACATAAAGCTCTTGTATGAATGGCCAGAGACTTCAACATGTCACTAACTGCTGCAAACCTCAAATACGCCTTCTGAAGGAGGCAGAAATACACGGACATACACGGACATATATGAAAACAATTACATAAGATCGACAGGACACGATATCATGAAA